TGGCTTCGAACTTCAATCCTCAGATCTCAGCCTCCTGAGTAGCTAGGATTACAGGTGTGAGCCACTGGTGCCTGGTTTGAATCTCCATTCTCAATAGGCAAAGACCAGAGAAGGCCAAGAGTGACTCAGGCCTATAATCCTATAATCCTAGCCACTCAGGAGGCTGAGATCTGAAGACTGAGGTTCAAAGTCAGACCAGGCAGACAAATCTAAGTGACTTTTATCTTCAATTAACCACCAAAAGTCTGGAAGTAGAGCCGGAAGGTATGGCTTAAGTGGTAGAGTGCTAAACTTAATTGAAAAAAGCTCGCAGGAGGTTCACACTTGTAATCTAAGCTACTCTGGAGGCTGCAGTCTGAGGATCTGAGGATCAAGGTTTAAAGCCAGCCCAGGCAGGAGAGTGAGTAACTCTTATCTCTAATTAACCACCCCAAAGCTGGAAGTAAGGCTGTGGCTCAAGTGGTAGAGCACCAGACTTAAGCAAAAAAAAAAAAGCTCAGAGGCAGCACTCAGGTCCTGAGTTCAGCACAGAGTTTGGGGTTTGGGGAGAAAAGAGAGTAAGAAAACAGCTTGAGGCGGTAAGTTCCAGCCCTAGTATCAACAGAAACAAACGAAAAGCCAAGACAAGGAACAAAACTCCAGAAAGTAGGCCAGGACAAGTGGTACTTGCTAGCACCAAACACTGTGTTTTGGTTGGTGAATGAACAGAGCAGCCTGTCAGAAGGAGAGATCCACCCAGGGCCACCACCCTCGTGGTGTCCCGTACTTCTCCCACGGCCGGCCAGTGTCCCCACTACAAATTCTCACAACGGCCACAAGAGGGAGCAATGGCACAGACAGTCCACGGAGGAGAGGGCTGGGCCTGGCGGCAGCCTCAGCCACCTCTACCCTGAGCAACAGGAGCAGCAGCCGCGTCGGGAGCTCCCATCTCCTAGTGAGGCCTCTCTGTGGAGGCCAGTGGGCCCAGGCTTGCCTGTGGGAAGGTTAGATTCGAGCGGGCATCTACCTACAGTGGTACACAGGACAGGGAAGTTTAGGGGCTCTGCCACAAACTGGGTTTCAACCCTGCCGCAAGCAGCATGAAGCCGTCACCCCCGGATTTCTTTCTTCCCCACGACAGGTTTCTGAAAGATGCTAGGCGGTCATTGTGCTGGGACGGCAGTTCGGGCCTACCATCTCAGCGTTCCGGAGGTAGAAGCAGGAGATGAGGGTTTGAGGCCAATCAAAACTAAATTACCAGCAAAAGGGCTGGGGGCATTGCCCAAGTGGCAGCGCCTTGCCTGGCACAAGCAAGGCCCAAGAATGCATCGGCACAGAAATATTATCCACGGAGATAATACAGGCGAAACAGGATGGCACCTGACACGCAGGGTCCACCCAAACGGGGCTGCTGCCACCTTTGCTGAGCCAGCAGAATCCAGAGGAGATGCATCTAAGCAGCTCAGGGTTCGGGGCCAAAGTGAGGCTCACGCAGATGTTTCAGCGGACACTAGTTTGCTGGGAATCAGGTGAGTCCCTCCAGCATTAGTGTGGATCAGCTGACCACTTCCGTCACATGCAGCCCAACAGTGCCCTCCTGCGGCCAAAGCTCAGTCCCGAGACCAAACAGTGCTGCTCTGGAAACAGCAGCCATTGCTCTGGAGCTACAGCTTAGCTTCTGAAGTCAGAGCCCATGCTCCCAGGAGCTTCCAGCTCCACACGCACCGCCAGAGCACACAGGAGGCCTCTCCAAGTCACATGTGTGGAATTCTGCACATGTTCCTGTGAAGACACAAGAAAAGGGGCTCCCACTGGGTGATCTGGGGGTGATCTGAGCAACAAGATGGTAGCACTGGGTAGTAATTACAATCCAACAGAAGGACCCTCACACCCCTACACAAGAACATTGGGAAACTTTACAGAGCAACGGCAACTGGTATTTGGAGGGGGAATTCTGAGTGGTGGTAGTGGTGGTGGTGATGGTGGTGGTAGTGGTGGTGGTGGTGGTGTGTGTGTATGTGTATGTGTGTGCCAGTACTACAGGGTGCTTGAATTCAAAACTTGCAGCTCTCAGTCTTTTGTTTAAGGCTGGAGGCTCTACTACTTGAGCCGCAGCTTTACTTTGGTTTATGGCTGCTTAATTGGAAAATAATCCTCTTGGGTTTGTCTGCCTTGGCTGGTTTTGAACCTTGGCCATCAGATCTCTGCTTCCTCAGATATGAGCCACCCAGCTCCCCAACCAGAAGAATTTGCAGTAAGTGTCCCAGGCAAACAACTAATCAATGGGGCTTAGGTTAGGTGTGATTGAAAAGCCCTATATCTATGACTCACAGTGGCTCACGCCTGTAAATCCTAGCTACTCAGGAGTCTGAGATCTGAGGACTGTACACGGTTCAAAGCCAGGTCAGGCAAAAAAGTCCCCTTGAGACTCTCATCTCCAGTTAATCACTCAAAGACCAGAAGTGGAGCTGTGGCTCAAAGTGGTAGAGCCCTAGCCTTGAGCATATAGAGCTCAGGGACAGTGTCCAGGCCCTGAGTTTAAATTCGCTGGGGGAACAGAGGAAGTATCTCCTCCTAAGATCCAGCTGGGTGTTGGTGTCTCACAGCTATAATCTGAGCTACTCAGGAGGCCGAGATCTGAGAATCAGGCAAGTCCGTGAGACTCCAATAAACTTCTAAAAAATAAAGAGGAAAAAAAAAAGTGTAGCTGTGGTTCAAGAAATAGAGTGCTAGCTAACTTGGGGGGAAAAGCTCAAGAACAGTACCCAGGCTCTGCTGGAGCTGTGCACACACACAAAAAGGAAAATCAGCAACATTTTTATCAACTGTCAGCACCTTCCCTGGTGACAGGACACAAATAATGAATGGTACAAACCAGTGTTCTGAACTCAATATAATGCACTGAGAAAAGCTCACTTCGGTGACAATCCTGCCTACACCACAAAACCTACCTAATCAGTCAGGAAACACCTGGTAAGCAGCTGGTTTACTCTGTACATTAGCCTGATTTCATAGCTGTATATGTGAGTTAAATGGTGGTCATAAATATGTATAATTACACACAGTACAGTTATAGGCAACATGCCACTCTGGTTTGATGTGGGACTGCCAAGGAGGGCACACAGGAGAGTTTGCTATAAATACGCCTGGCAGATTACAGTTTTGGTCAGGAAGTCCATGAGCTGATGTTACTCATTGCATTGTGGGTAAGATAATGCCCTTGTTTCTAGGGACATAAAACCACCTCAAGTACAGGGAGCAAATAAGGGAAATGTTACCAGCTGAGCAATCTCGAATAAAAAGGAATTCTTCACAAGTCTTCTCTAAGTCAGGATACATGCACATAACGAGTTCTCGTGGTTCAGGTACCAGATCTAAACATGGAACCCACTTGAGTCTCACATATACCTGTGCACATACCAGCAAGTTAATACTACACAATATTTTCAATACTTTGACTAAAGCCAGTGAACATTTGTTTCAATAAAACAATTATAAAAAACAGGATTCCATTAAGGAATCAATCTGGCACTGTACCTAGAACTTCTATTGAAAACACTTGTTTCTCCAGTTGTCTAGAACACTTACCAGAAAATGACTTAACACCTGTATACCCTTCTAAACACTTTAATAATACTTAACCTCATACCTGCAGGGATCCCGTGACCCCAAACAATCCTCACCTACTACTTACTCCAAGGGCAAAGCATATTCAGAGAAACTATTAAAAACCTGGCTTTTCCCATCTTTAAGCAGTTTAATTTCAAGGCAGTTTTAAGTTCCTCAGAAATACCAATTTGTAAGCAAATTGAGCAACAAAAAAACCCCACATGAACTAAATGACCACATAGCATCCCCCGCCCCCCATAAATGGGTTACTATTTGTGTGCAGGTTAAAAAAAAAGTACAAACAAGTCTTCAACTGTCTAGTCTTTCGAGTCACCTTGTTACTAATTCATGCTAGCACACTGCTGTTTTCATAATTCAAAATTACTTTTGTACCCAAATGCTGTTGGGCCTCACCCAAAGCCCTGTGTGGTGAAGCGACCTCCGTTTTGCAGCCCCATGGCCACTGTGGAAAACATGTTAACCAGTCTTCAGAATACTCAAATTACATCTTTAGCCAGGCACCACTGGCTCAAGTCTATAATCCTAGCTATACAGGAGGTTGAGATCTGAGGATCACGGAAGCCAGCCTGAGCAGGAAAATCCATATGTAAGATTTAGCTCAGATTAACCACCAAAAAGCTGAGTTGTGGCAAGTGGTAGAGTACAAAAGATCAAGGACAGCGTCTAGGCCCTAGGTTTAAAGCCCCAGGACCAACACTGCCCCTCCCTCACCCATACACACACTTAAGTGTTAGTGGGTACTATCTGATACTTTGTAACAGCAACTCATCTGGATCCATGTCTGGTAGACAAAGCTAAGTAAACAAAGTAGGCCAGAAAAAAAATCCTCTCAATTAATTCAGGCCCAACATTGAGGAAAAGCTGCTTGCCTGGGAGTCTGGGCTTGCTCCTCTCCTCCTCTTCATGGGTTTAACTGCCCAGTCTCAGAGCCACCGCTCAATCTCCCAGCTGGGACAGAGGCCCTACTATGAAATGTCTAAGGCATGGAGATCGTGAAAAGCTCAAATGGTCAGGCCACACTTACTGTCATGTTGAGAGTGCTGGTGTGAAAATTGGTCCATGTTAGAACTAGTACTTACCATCAGGGGTAGGTACCTGCGAAGTACTGCCTAGGAAGTCTAAGGTCTTGAGTTCAAACACAGGTCCCCTGTCCAAAAAGAACTAGTATATACTAACTTTAAAAGGATCTCTTGGTACCATTTAAGTGTGAGTCAGGTTTTAAACTTCTTGTGACTGTTGGCCAGACAAGTAGTTCACAAGGCAGAAAAGAATCCCCTAACCACACCAACTCCAACTGAAAAACGGGTTTATCAGAAAAACCAATACAGCCATTCTGCAACCTAAAAAATGTGCCTTTTAATAGTAATTCATTTAAATAAGATCTGAAGCAGTTTAGAAAAACAAGATTTGTATTTTATTTTCTTGTAAAAATCTTTACACATGCAGACAAACCAGTGTTAAGAAAGTATTCACCATCATTTAAACAAATAAACCACTTAAATAGAACAGTGTCTGCAGTTTTATCTGTATAAAAATAAGATACATTTTTACAGAATTCACGCTCCAGTTCTTATAGCAATAAACAATACACAACTATAATAAAGTACAATCGAACCTGACCATGGTTTGCAATTAGATACTGCTAGGGCATTTTAATGTGCAAAAGAATTTCAACATAGTTCTTTTCGAAAGCAAATGTCTTCCATGTTTCTAGAGACCTAGTCTGAAGCAATCGAATCCTAATCACTTGGGGTTGAGTCCGCACACCTGGCCGCAGGGGTCAGCGCCGGTGTCTGCTGTGGCCCGAGCGGCTGCCGCCGTGGTGCTTGCCCTTGTGCGCCCGCTCGAAGGAGCGTGACCGCTCCCGCCGCTCCCTGTGGTGGCCCCGCTCGTGTCTGTGCTTCTTGGCAGCGTCGGAATGATCACGAGACTTGCTCTGGGAGCGAGAACGGGACTTTTTCCTCTTGTGGCCGTGTCTGTTGGAGCTTTTTAAGTCCTCTCTGGTGTGCTTGGCCTTCAAGTGAGGGGGAGAGGCGTGGTTGTGGTGGCGCCGGGGGCTCTCGCTGTGGCTGCGGGACCGGCTGCGGGAGCGAGAGCTGTATGTCCCTGAGCGGCTCCGCCTGTTGTTGTAACTTGGGAACAAACATTCACAGTTTAACTCAGTTTCTGCAGAGGCCAATGATACCCACTGTTGCTCACTAACAGGTTCAAAGCAATGGACTACCATCAAGGACAACAGGCCAGATGTCCCCCTCCACCTCCCCACCACCCGTCATTCCTTCCCAGTGTCCCAACACAGGGAATAACCTTCTACAGCCTTTGCTCTACATTCCCTCCCACAAGCTCAGACAGATAGTCACTAGAGCTTGCAATCTATTCCTAAAGCTAACTAGTGAAGAAATGTTCACGTTAAAAATGGTTTCACGTTGTGAGATTACGCACATGCACATCCACAGTACTGTTTCTCCTCCAAAAGAGGAAAAACCACTCCATCACAACACTCCACTTGAAAACCAACAACCCCCTGGCGCACACCCCCCCCCACCACCACATCCAGCTCACTTCTCCTCATTGATCTGGTGTTTAACAAGACCTAACCCTAAAAGGTGGGCTCAGCTGCCGGCAAGGCCAGCATTCAGGGGGAAATCAAGACTCTGATAAAAAGACAAACCAATGCGAAACAGCATGGGGGAGGGAGAAGGAGCTGGCCTGTTGTCCGAGCTTCCTGTAAGTGCAAATAGCATTACTGCAGTCCAGGCTAGCCCAGGAATAAACAAATGCAAGACTCTATTTAAAAATTAACAAACAATGCTACAGTGCCCTTGCAAAGCCCAAGGCCCTGAGTTCAAACCCCAATAGCACCCCAAAAAGAAGCCTAATCCTAGCTTAACCTTGGAAAAAACAAATCAGTAAGCTTTAAAGAGTCCCAAATAGGATTGTTGGTTGGATCTACTTACTGTCTTCGTGGCGTGTGTGATCTAGACCGGGACCGCGTCCGTGACCTGGACTGACTCACACTTCTGCTGTTCCTGCTTCTCTTGCTGTCTTTTCTTACACTGGGGAAAAACAAAACAAATGTGGCTCAGTGGTAGAGTGTTTGCCTAGCATGCATGATGCCCTGGGTTTGATTCTTCAGTACCACATGCAGAAAAAGCCAGAAGTGGCTGGGGCTCAAGTAGTAGAGTGCTAGGCTTGAGCAAAAGCATCTCAGGAACAGCACCCGGGCCCAAGTTCAAGCCCCAGGATTGGCAAAGCACACACACATTTTAGCAACACTGTTAGATGAACACAACAAGATCCCTCAAAGCCACCCTTAAGCACTCACCCATTGTAAGGGCTTTTGGAAGCCTGCTGTCTGTCCTCAGGCTCCTTTTTGACCATCTTCACACTGAGGGATGCCGGGGACTTCTCTTCGGCTTTTACTTCTCTAGGTGACGCTTTAAAAGACGGGGCCGCAAATGAATTCCATAGTGGTTTAACAGAGGGTCCAACCCATCTCAGCAGGACTCCCAACCATCAGGCCTTCCTCAACCCTGCCGGCTTTGATGGTCAGAAAGCGGCAACATTGTTTCTGAGTAACTGTTACCAAGCTAAAACTTTTTCACAGTTTGCAGTGACCTCCCCGCCCTCAGCTTCCCTCAGTGCCAGCGTCTACCACTTACAGGGCTTGGAGGCTGGGGAGAAGCCGCCCAGGGTGGAGAGGGCTGGGGTCCCATCTGGATTCAGTCCCTTTGCTTTCAACTTGGCTTCCTGTAAGGCTACTTTTCTCTTCTCTACTTCCTTTTCTAGCAATTCATAGTTAGGCTGTTGGAGAAAAGGGAAGTCAGTATTTCACTCTCGTAGTTGTTTAAGAGACTTGGAACATCAACTTAAGTAAACAGAATTCACCTTTTTCCTGGTGTAGAGCCGAAGCGTCTCGATGCAGATTTCTTGAATTTCCTCTTCTGTAGTGCCAAAAAGAAGAAACCAGTGGGGACGAGTGGGCAGTGGGATCTACAATGGAGAGAGAATGGGTGAATCTGTGCTAGTTCCTGTCAGAAGCCCTGAACTGATGCATTGATTCTCAACAGTCACTCAGGGGCCAGGCGCCACACTCACCTGGAGAGCCCTGGCCGCCAGGTAGATGCACGCGCATGCTATAGTCTCTGGTTGAAAGCGAACAAAAACATTGGTCCGCAGACTGTCGTTCATATAATTCCTGAAAAAGATGTCCACTGTAAGCTGTGCACACAAACAAGCCGGAGCTTACATAAAGTTGGAGACTCAATCTACTTCATTCTTTTTTCTTCTCTATATTCACAACTTCATACTCTAGCATATAATTATTAACTTGTTAAAAAAAATCAGCAATAACTTCGTACAAAGGCCATTCTTGAGTTATCTTATGTAGGACGAAAGCTGTCATTTTTATTACTGTCCAAATGAAACTTACCCTTAAGACTTTCTTTTAATGTAATTTTTTCAAAGTCAACTGACTTTTCGTTAATGACATAAGCTTCATTAATGACATAAACCACTCCAACAATACTTCAAGCCATGAATTATTGACCATCTCTCCTTTATCCACAATGAAAAGCAGTGTCAACCAAGTTCTTTCAAAAATTCAAAATACTGTGACAGGGGTAAAAAGGCATTTTAAGCAAGAACCCACCAATTTACATTAAATTAAAAAATTGCTTCAAAAACCCTAGGTAGGAAAGAAAAGAACAGTGGTAAAGATAAATTAAAGCTCTAGTTTACATACCTTTTTTTTCCCCCAACAAAAACAGTAAATGACTTCCATCCGAGCCCACCCTCTACAGAACTTACTACAGTTGTTTAAAAGCTTGAGCTAGAATTAATGGAGTTCTTGAAAATTCTTATACCCATAAATGTTTCATTGAACACATTAAAATAGACACATTTCATGAAACAATGAAACTATTCTAGCGTTACTAATATTTACTGAATCCAAAAGGTATCTTGCTGGAAATGTCCAGAACATAAAATCACTTATCTTGCATATCAACAGTCTTGTGAAAGAGGTGTGGGTGAACCACACCTCCTGGCTTGACTGTAGACAGTCAATCTGTCACTCTTGAACCTGAATCGCAAAGATCCAAATTAACAGTAGCAGTCAGGTAACATGAACTTCTCCTTCTAGAAATGAAGTCCTTCTAGTAACATCATTGCCTACAACAGCCCAGCATCTGTAAATCCACCCAAAATGGGGACTGCTGCCCATTTAAAGCTGAAGGCTGTAGCCTCTTTCAGTAGAATTCAACTATACACACCTAAGTAGAAATTTAGTCAAACCTCTAATTAAAAAAACAAAAAAAAACCAAAAAACAATTTTAATGCATAATGGCTGGACAATATCAAAAATGAACTATTCATTTTGATAGTTACAGGTATACATTAAATACACAGGCATGTTGAATAGTTACTTCTAGAAGCAAATATACAAATCCTTTTGACACCCCGACAGAACTAGAAGATGCTGCCAGATGGATATGGACCACTTCAGTGAATCTCGGATGAGAGCTTGCACTGGATTGGCTGGAGAGCAGGGCAGCCAATCAGGCCATCCTGAGGTCATGGGCTGAAGTGCAGAGGGCAGAGCTCTATGACTTACCATCAGGGACTACCCTTTAATTAAAGAGTAGAAAAAAGAACAAAGTTAAATTGAGTTCTCCATTAAAAGTAATTAGTCAAGCCAAGAAAACAGGAAGCAGAAATAAGCATTATTTACCTTTTGGTCAAAAACGAAACAAAACAAAAAAAAGCCCCAAAACAAACTTATCTCATTATTTTAGAAAGAGAAAATGAAACTTACTTTATTTCTGCTTCTGTTTTCCTGACTACAAAAGAAATGTAAAAAAGCAACTTACCAGGCAGTCTGAACGAGGGTTTGGTTACGTTCGCACTCTAGGACTTGTAAATACATTACAATGATCTGAAGGAAAAGGAAAACATCCAACTTAGCTGGTGCTTCTTTCAGAGTAAGCTCGATGAATACAACAGTAAAAAGCACTAGATACATGTTTTGAATCGGAGAACTGCAGCTAATAAAGACCAACAGGCATTGGTGAGTTGTGACTAGATTTTTTTAAATTCCGTATTTTAAAGCACGTGAAGTATAGAGAAAAAAAGCCACTGATTCAATTAGCAAGAACATAGAGAAGGGCACTTTACTATGTGTGGGTACAGTGCTAGGCTAATTACACCCAATTTCTCAGCATATATTTTACATGTCCCAAAGTCAGAGACTTTATTTTTACTTTTTATTTTTATTACATAAAAAGATGCTATACAAGGGGTTGACAGTTATAGAGAGGCCTTGGCTTCTGTTAAGCTTTCTGGTGTACAGGCAAATCACTCCCTCAGACAAGTGTGTCCATGTGTCCTGACAGGGCCAAGGCTTCACCCAGTGAGCTGCTACCACACCAGAGCAGCAGGTGGTGTGCCAGATGCTCTGTGCACACATGTGGTCACTCCTCAGAGCAAGGTGGGACTCAATCACAAAGCAGAAAAGAACTTACTTCCCATGGTCCCACTGGGAAGCCCACATTCTCACGCCTACCGGCCCCATGTCAGCATCTAAGCTCTTCCATTTTTGAAGACAAGCAAAACTCAATTTTTGGAAAAGCCCAATACTTACGAACTAGCCCAGCAGTCTTCACTCACCTTGTGGGGGTGCTTGACATGGACACAGAACCCCAGCTCCTTCAGCACCCTCCGTTCCGCCTTGATCACTTGGTTTTTGGTGTTAATGTAGTTCTGGTCAAGGACCAGAGGGCTTGGAGTCCTGGTTTGTAAGAAATAAAATCAAAACTGTTTTGCACATCCAAAAATTTTATTTGTGGCAGCTCCATTTTCCCTTCCAACCAACTATTGGCAACAGAAACCAGCTTTTCTAAACTCCTGGGAACAAGTTAAAGCATTCATCTTGTGCTGTCCAAGTTATGCTAAGTTATTATCTAGGCCTGAGTTCCTAACACACTAACTCAGATTTAATGCAAGGGTCGGGGGAGAACACTGGAAATCTTTGTTATTTCTCATCTCAGATTCTCACAATAACTAGAGTTGACATGGCTAATGTACTATTCACAAACTTGTTAGATGCCATCCCTCCAATGACAAATACTAATGTGTACTCTGATGCATTTACAATAGTCTTAAATCACAATAATGTTATAAAATATTAACCCTTGGCTAGTTTTTTAGACAAAATAAGAACCAGTATAGCTAAATCTGATCTCCTTTGGGAGCCAATTGGTTTAAACCAATTATTCTAAGAATATGCTTCTGCTGCAAGAGTCTTAAAAATCAAAGATTCAGCTCAACTGTCAAGGAAAATAGCCTTGATCAGGTTTAAGGTTAAAAAAGACTTATAAAATCAAAGCCTGACTTGGTCAGCTATAGCTCTGCTCCAGTGTAACACTTGTGTGTGGCCATTGCTCAGGAAATGACAGCCTTTCGTTCAGTCTAAATCCGGCAGGCCTCAGTTATTTTCAAGTCTCCACTGTGCCAACCACACCTGCTGTCAGCAAACAGGAAGGTCAGTTTCACGTGGCTCTTGTAAAAATCCTATCATTTACAGAAAACTCACAATCTTTTATGCTGAAAACTTGATTTTGTTATGTGGCCCAACCTGGCCTCAATCCTGTTATCCTACTGCATCAGCTGGGACTGACAGGTATGGGCCACGATGACCAGTTTGTCTCATAACTTAAAACTGGTTTTAAGTGAAGTAATATTACAGAACATGTCTTTTTAAGTCTATGAAATTACCATGTCCCTCAATACATTCTTTGATCTAACCAATAAGAAGTGCATTTTAATTACATTGATTACATGAAAATATTCTACATACACTCAATTCATTTTAAGCCAAATGACTTTTTTTTTTTGGTTAGGACAGAACATGGTATATTCAGTCTGAATCCTTATCTTAATGCACACAGATTCAGAAAACTGCAATCTTAATATTTGCAGACAGTGAGTTAGAAATCAACTAGAAGCGAGCTGCGTCACCAACTGCTCTGGTGACAAGTTATCACCATACTTACTTTATCAAAATTTATTAAGTGGAATGCTTACCAGACTGGTTATTCTATACAATTTTTGTCAAGTTACATTAAGCAAAAGTTGGCAGAGCTAACAAGATAATGAGAGCATAGTTGTTACTTAAAATCTCAATTCCTGGTATAGCCACAAAAGGAGCAAATGGAGAACCAAGACCAAGGAGGGGGCATGGGCTGCCTGAATAAAAGGCTATAAAGGCTCTTTAGAAAAAGAAATTAAACAATACAAATGAGAGCAGCAGCATATTCCAAAGACTTTATGTTTACAATTTTCCAAGTTTTATCTGTGCAAAGTAGCTGGAAAAATCCACTTCAGACTCAGCGAGTGACTTTCCCTTCAATTAGCATTAGGAAATGAAGGCTCTACCAAAACCCCTCTATAGGAATGTAAAAATGCTCTATCTCATTTTTCTCTATTTACATTGATCAAAATTATTTACACCATACTAAAAAGTATGCTTCAAAAGTAGCCCTTAAATAGTGATGAAACTTCCTCTAGTAATCAAACAGGGAGGCACTGGGTTCAACTGTGGCTACTGTTTAGTCCCAAATCGGGCTTCATCACTAATGAATTTCAGATCATTCTGCTTCAATTATTGTCCATCCCACTCTGCTTTAATCATTGTGTAGCTTTTTTGGCATTTACCAAAAATTGCAACTTTAAAAACAGCTTGAAGAAACTTAAGGCACATACAACTTAAAAGTGGTATAGGCCGCGCCTGACAAGCGAGACCTGAATCCATCAGCGTAACAGAAAACAACATGGAAAACAGGTTGAGAAACAAAACCTATTTTGTTACTATAATTCAATTACATACTTAAAATTCCTGCCCGGTTGTGGTAGAACCTGTAATTTCTAAAGTTACTTTGTATAATAGATATATAAACTGATACTGTTATTTTGTTCAGAAATCAAGATTCAAACAAGTTTTACAACTACCTTACAAAAATTGGTTAGCAAGAACAGAAAAATACCTCCAGAAATGAGTAACAAATAGATTCCAAAGACTTAAGCAAGAACTTTACAAAGTATTAATTAGTACAACAATGTATCAATCAAAGTACATTTTATGGCAATACATTGAATGAAGGCTTGCTCCCATTTTCTCCCCAAGGGAGAACTTGTCAATACAAAGAAAATTTAAATCTCTGGAGAAATTTAACAATATTTATCTGCCAACCCTCCTCCTCAGCTTAAGGCTGAAGGAGGTGAGGAACTGATTGGACTCAGGGATTTGTACTCCACTGCTTGAACTCACAACCCCTGGAGATTTCTGGTTTCTAACCCTTGATTTTGCTAATTCATGTGAGAACAATCTCCAACTTTTAAGAAATCTTGGTCATTATTGAAGTTCCTGGTAACTTTTAGCAAGATTGAAATATAGCAAAACAAACAAAAATCAGAATTAAAGAGTTCCAAACATGGTTAGTTTTGCTTGTGTATTTTAAAGACAGACTTTGGAGCAATTATTTCAAGAAACCACACTTAAACAAGATGGGCCCCAGGCTGCTACTCACTTTGCTGCTTAAGTAGGGCCTTCCCCTAGAAGTACCAAGTGATCGCAAGGCCCTCTGCAGTCACAAAAATAATTACAGGTGGTTGCTGGAGCAGTAACCACATAACGTTTATAGTTTACATGTTGAAATACAACATTGTCATCAGTGAGAATGATTGAAAGTCTTTGAAAATTGATCTTTTAGACAATTTTCATGAATATGGCTCCTTTAAAAAAAAACAAACGAGGGGCTGGGAAGATGGCTCAGTGGTAGAGCGCTTGCCTTGCATGCCTGAGGCCCTGGGTTCGATTCCTCAGCACCACATAAGCAAAAAGAAAAAAGCCGGAGTGGCGCTGTGGCTCAAGTGGTAGAGCGCTAGCCTTGAGCTGAAGAGCTGAGGGACAGCGCCCAGGCCCAGAGTTCAGGCCCCACGTCCGGACCCAAAATAAATAAATAAATAAAAATTAAAAAAATTAAAAAAACAAACGAAACCCTTTAATTTACTGCAAGTGCACTAAAATATATAGCTAGTTAATATCACTAATTATATGTAAACTACTCAAAGGAACATGTTTATTTCCCTTTAAGGCCATGTGCCCTGAACTTTTAAAGAGTCACCAAACTACCCAAAAACTGAAGGGGGAAGCAAGGTGCCAGTGGTTCACACTTGTAATCCAAGCTACTCAGGAGGCTGAGATGCAAGGATGGTGGTTTGAAACTGGCCTGGAATGGCAAGTCTGCGAGACTTATCTCCAATTAACCAGCAAAAAGCTTTAAGTGGAGATGTGACTCAAGGAGTAAAGCATCAGTCTTTGGGAAAAGCTAAGCAAGAGGAGAACGCTAGGCCCCAAACAACAAAAACACGAAGGGGAAGAGGCCGTAGTAAGCCAGGTAAAACAATCAGGCACAGGCACTTTTCTTTAAAACCTCCAGGTGACTTCAGTGTGGAGCCAAGACTGGAAATGATGGTCCAAATAAAGCCTTTAGTCTTAAGTCCATGTAATGCTCAAGGTCACACAATTACAGTTATGCACAAACTAGACTAAAAAACAGCATCAAGACAAACTGGCAATGCTTCACCTAACTAAATTTTCATTTTGACAATACTTCTAGTGACAACCTGTAACAAAAAGCATGAAGCTATTGTTGTAATAACTTGGACAGCAAAGACAAAAGCTTTTAACAAGAAACAGGAGTTTTTCTAAATGGTTCACCAGTGGCCAACCTGTTAGTCCCCGATTCCAGTGACCTATTCTCAGAGCACTGGCTTCTCCTTGGGGATTTTCGATACTTCACTCACTGTTGCCATGACGACAGCTTCATCTCTATGTACCACTCCACATCACCCAGGCTTTGGTAAATGTAGCTGGTCGCTGTATAGTCGGTTGCAAGGGAAAAAAGAGTTGAAGTTAATAACATATACAAGCTACGTGTCTGAGTAAACTTGTAATATGCATAGAAACACTTATATCCTGTTTTTGTTTTAAAAAAGAGCTTCCATGCAATTAACTCCTTTAAAAAGTTTCATGCTATCATCAGACTAAGATTGAAACAAAGTTAATTTCTCAGAAATAATGACCAAAAAATGGGATTACATCCAAGTCAGTAAGATGGGATTATTTTAGATTCCAAGATGTTTTAGTTACAATCCTATTCTGACATCAAAGAAGGAAACAAGCCTGTCAGGAAAACTCCAAAAAAAAAAAAAAAGACAACCATGGGATTACATAGCAGCTGGCTCAATGACTCAAATACTACCAGAAAACCTCCTTCAAACAAACACCATCCTCAAGAGCCTATTATGAAAAACACCTTGAAGACATCTTAAAGTACAAATTTAAGCTCAGACCATCTAAGTACCAGTTTGAAGACTTCCCATATCTAAGGATTCCTTACAACAAAGACTAAAGGCAGTTTAAACTAAGTTACTCTATTCCTCAACACAGGGATAGAAAATGCTTTCAGCAGCATCTGTGGCCATGTCCCAGGCGGGGCACTCATCTGAAAATGCCCTTAGCATCTGCCTGGCTGGATAACTCCATCACTGCCACACAGCTTTGGGCAGGAGGACTGGGAACTCACCGCCCCTTGCTGGGAGGGCCCCCAGATCTCATCTACACCAGCACTCCTGCACTTGGGCAGCAAGCACTACAGACAAAGTCATTGTAAATACAGAAAGGGGGTGCCCAGCTATGGTTATTACACCATTTCAAAGTGGGCACTGTTTCGGACTCTATATATATGTGGGCCATACCCAAATGTAACCCAATCTTGAGTTTTAACCCACTTTGACTGCATCTGACCCAAACAAGATACCTGTTTAATCCCTTTTGACTTCAAACTTTATCATCCTTTCAGTCCTTCAGATGCGTTAGAGTGTAGGTAGTTCAGTGAAGTTCTAACAAGAGCCAACCTCAATCGACACAGCATTTGGACTTACAGAAGACAACCTATGCAGAACCTTGCCACAATATTAACTTGAGCTACAGTGCTTGAACAGCCAGCCTTCAGTCTTCCAAAGAGGAGAGGGAAAAAATAACTTACAGAATACACTCACACTGGAGCCCAACGTACTCCCTTTCTTTCTTGTTTTATCTTAAGCCAATGGACTGGCTTCACAGCACTGCTAGGATTGTCCACAAACGCAACTGCCTCTACAAACTTCAGATAGCTGGTTAATTGGGTGTTTGGGTGGTTTTTTTTTTTTTTCCAAATTAAACATCGGTACTCCTACGTGAATTTCAACACCTAGAGTCAGTTTGCTTTGCTTCTGAACTGACTTGAGAGAAAAGATGTTTTGATGATGGTGCAGTTAGTTAGCAGTAGCAACAGGGGTTACTAATGTCAGTCACGCCAATCTTACCTTTTTCCTCTTAACTGGCGGAGGTGGTGGAATACATTGATCACATCTCTTATCCTTCTGGGAGCTTCTTCGATTTTTGATGCAAGGTTAATACAGGCCATGGCAACAATCTGTGGAAATAAAAATGACTGTTTTAACTCCCATATCACAAAGTAAATGGGAGGAAAGGAAACTATTTTTTCCTCCAAATCGCAGAACTTATCCAAAAGCTTTAGAACTCGGTGGGACCATCTTTGGTGAACTAGAACTACGCGTTTAGGGACCGGGTGGAGTACCAGCTTTCCGTACTATAGCTTAGGTGCCGTTAACTTTTTTATGCTCGACACCAGAGTTCCACCACTTGAGCCACAGCGCCACTATGCGCTTCTGGCCGAGTGGCTCCTTGACGATCAGGGCCTCACGGACTTTCCTGCAGGGCTGGCTTCGAACCGCGGCCTTCAGACCTCAGCCTCCAGAAAGCCACTCTATCACTCAACTCCCAGGCCCCCCCCCCAAGAGGGTCGCGCGCTGCCCGCGCCCCTCGGCCACGTGGGCTCGGGGTCCGTCTTC